TCAAACAGTTACTCATGTGTTCTAATAAACTAAACAATTACACTAAATAATTACACAAAATTATGACACTAACGCAATTTGTCATTTAGTTGTTTACATAAATTAAAAGGTTATACCATTTAGTATCATAACATTATTACACCAATTATATACACCAAATTTTATAACTGGTGTAATAATATCGTGATACTAAATGGTATAACTCTTTGTTTTATGTAAATAACTAAATAAAAAATTGGGTTAGTGTCGTAATTATTTGGTGTAACTGTTTGATTTGTCATAACACATGAGTAACCGTTTGGTGTATTATAGGACAGTTGTAGCTGATTAATGTAATTATGTTGTTATAACGTTGATATAAAGAGAGAAAGAGAGAGAGACTAAAGGGAGAAAGAGTAAGAGAAAATAGTGGGAGAGAGAAAAAAATAGGGGAGATAGAGAGATGGAAAAATCAAATCAAATCTTTATATATTTGAAAATAAAATCAAATATTTATCAATGGGTCTTTGGTCCAGTGGTACTCCTTGTCTTGTGAAGGCTTTGCCTTCTTGAGGTCAAGGGTTCAAGTCCCCCTCCCCCTCCCCTCCCCTCTCCCAAAAAAAAAAAATTATTAATGGGGGAGAGAGAGAAACATATAGAGATAAAGAGAAAATAGAGAAGAAACAATGAGAGAGTAATGGAGAGAGAATGGAGTCATGAATGACCTTTTAGTTTTTTTAATCTGTATTTTTTAAATGTACTTAGAGCCAAATAAGTATTTTTAATGTGGTTTAACTCAATTAAGTCTAAATTTTTGTACCGACTACCAAATTTTCCTAAATCTTTTTCTTGGCCATGTAAAACTAGAACAGGGGGTAGGTGTGGGTGTGTCTGTCTGAGAAAGAGAGAGAGAGAGAGAGAAGTAGGTGAGTTAGATATATGGGTATATATATATATATATATATATATATATATATATATATATATATTTAACCAACAAATTAGGAAGGAGAGAACTTGACAAACTTTACAAAATTTCGATTCCTTTTATTGTTAAAATTGGGGTTGAGTCCTCCTTAAGTGACTTATAATAAGTTTAGTATGTCAAGAAAAATTATTTGGAGATAAGTTCATTTTTAATCTAGTTAAGTCCATTATTTTTTTAAAAATCCAAAATATCATTCCTTAAAATAAACTTTAAATCATGAAAGCTTCACACTAGAGCCTCTAGTGAATACTTTTTACATGAACCGTTAGATCGTGATCCATGAGTTACTAGTGTAAAAAAACCAAAATTAAATGGAAAAACTTACCAAGTTAAGCTATGAACTAAGGAAATTTCATTTTGATATTGATTACAATCTTTATCATATAAGGAAACTAAATTAACCCTTTTAATCAAATATTTTCAACCAAATTAGTAAAAAAAAACTTGTCACACGGGTGAACCTATTAACTCAAATTGGTTTATACCAACTTTTAATCAAATTTTGATCAAATTTTAATCAAATTTTGATTCCTTTTATTGTTAAAATCGGGGTTGAGTCCTCCTTAATGGACTTATAATGAGTTTAGTATGTCAAGAAAGCTTATTTGGAGATAAGTTCATTTTTAATCCAGTTAAGTCCATTATTTTTTTAAAAATCCAAAATATCATTCCTTAAAATAAACTTTAAATTAGTTTCCTAATTTGAGAATTGTTATCCCTTAATTTACTATCAATGAAGACTTGCCAATACAGTTTTTACATAAATTTGAAATTCAAATTCAAAAAATAACTGATCAATGCTCTCTCTCTCTCTCTCTCTCTCTCTATATATATATATATATATATAGTAGCACGATGATGAAAGTTTCACACTAGAGCCTCTTGTGAATACTTTTTACATGAACCGTTAGATCGTGATCCATTAGTTACTAGTGTAAAAAAACCAAAATTAAATGGAAAAACTTACCAAGTTAAGCTATGAACTAAGGAAATTTCATTGTGATATTGATTACAATCTTTATCATATAAGGAAACTAAATAAACGAATGGTGAACCAAAACAGTGAAGCATATTCACATTAATCTATTGAAAAATACCCAAGGTTGAATAAAATGAACAAACAAACATCACACATTTGAATCAATAACTGGAAAATGAATCGAAGTATGAACCTCTAGCCCATAAATTTCTGAAGAAAGAGAGACAGAGACCACACTACCTTTGTTGGGTCGCAGGAGTAGTGTTTAGCAATCGTCGGAGGACAGGAACAGAAATAGAGATAGACTCCACAGCTTTGCGAACTCCTTCTCAAACCTCAGATCTTTCGTAGGAGGAGTGGTTCTTCATCAGCAGAGTGTCTTCATTGGAGGTAGGCTCTAATGCAGGAGTGGTCTTCATTGGCGATAAAAGCTTGCACCAGAGTGATCTTCGTCAGAGGTGTGGAGTGGAGAGGATGGGTAAATCGGGTCTAGGGTTTTGTGTTTATGATTTGGCATCATTCAGAATAATTTTGAATGACGTTTTCTATAAAAAAAATTTAGTTTAAAATAATTATTTGAAATGATATTTTCTCTTATGAAGGCATCATTCAAAATGACGTTTTTTAAAAAAAGGTTGAATTTGAGAAATAAGTTTAAAACTAACTAAGTTTGAGAACAAATTTTTTGGGGAGGTTGCGTTTGGGGAAAAGCTCCCCCGTTCCCTCTTCCATGCCACATTGGCCAAACTTTAGTTTGAAGGTTTGGTAAAAAGTGGCTCCAATTGAAAAGAAAAACACACATAAATTTGAATTTAATAGTGCATAGGCATGCAAGTTCACCTGGGAGCTCCAACAAACAACCCACTTCAGCACAATATTTTTGAAGTTGAAAATACAGTCGACAAATTTAAGAGTAGTTCAAGTGATAATAAAAATTTATTATAAATTTAGATATTTTGAGTTTGAATATTGATAATTTTTTAGAATTAAGTCATTATGGGTTAATCCCTCATGAGTACCCTAATTCCGACATGAATAATATGTCTTTAATCGAATTATTATTTGAAATAAGCGTGAACTATAGACTATTGAATAAAAAAAAAAGCAGCCATAGATTTAAATTTAATAACACGTAGATCTGCAAGATCACCTGGGAGCTCCAATAAGCAATCCACATGAGCACAATATTTTAGGAGCATATGGCAATCACACCAAACTCCCTAAAGGATCCATTATCCAACTTTCAATATATATTTTCATGCTGTATCTCAAAGATTCTTGTCTCAAATAACAACAAAAAAAAAAAAAAATCTTTTCTCAAATCACACTCACTTGGCTCACATCAACAAGGAGTTCGTCGATTGAAGTATTTTAGTATGAGTGAAATTCCTGTTTTGTTTCGTATCAAGTAGGGATTCTTTGTTAAGTGAATCGATTTTATGTTTAGCTTAACTCATCCCGCTTATCTATTATCTCGATTTATAGAAAACATTCTTCATGACCCTTTTTATTTGCTAAATCGCGAGTTTACGAGGACTTTCGGGTCACGATAGGTCTCTTCAAATGCAAAAAGATATGTCGTTTATTGAAACTGGAATTCCACTGGTCGAGCCATGAATCCAGATCGACCAGATACTTAAATGGGATTGAAAGTTGTTGGGGGGAAATCTTAGGCTTCAACATCAATCCATTTTGTTGCCATGACCAAACTACTTGAATTGTTGCCCACTGATAGCACACATCAATCCTAAATCAACACTATCAATGTATGTCATACGCATCTTCTGTTAGTTTTTATTATTTTTTTTGTCAATATTTCTGTCAAAAATCAATTTATTGACACTAACGGAAAAGCTATCAGAAGAATAATATTGTAATACTTTTGATACCTTAAGGGTGCAATGTAAAAAATTTCATGAGTACAAAATAAAAATCTTAAAATCTTTCACAATATAAAGTGCAAAAAGCCCTAAGTTTTGCATTGGTTTCCCAAAGCCTGTGCTAGGGAAATAAACTTTTGGGCAGTTGGAATACAAATAAGGATGGTTTAATTACTGAAATGTGGATTTACGTACCATGAAGAAATATTCCATCCCGGGAAGAGGTTGGATGGGTTCAGATTGGGTCCGCTACTTATCTATTCCTATGTCCAAACAAGAGATGAAAGGGACAACACTGTAATTGGAGGCCGGATGGGTGTGGGTTGGATAATATCTATGGAGCATACAAGATACGGATACAAAATGATATCAATATAATGCTATTGTAAACCCTTAGAAATATGCAGATATGATTAAGATACTTTTTTAATAAATTTTATCTCATTTTAACATACCTAATGTCCACAAATATACGTCTTTCTTGCACTCATATTCTAGACTATCTAGAAATTGAAAAATAAGTTATTAATTATTAGATTTGAATGGTAGCTTTCGGTATGAATACATCAGGCTAAAGGAATTATCTGCACTTCATTAGTTGGGATAGTCCAAACCCGAACATATCCAGCCATCCAAACAAACCTTTAACACTAGCCTATAAATATGGCAACAACCCATAAACTTCTTTTATGAAGTTTAGTCTCATTTGGCTTCCTAAGAAAACACGCTAAAAAGGTTAAAAATCTAATTTTTGTGAAACTTACCTTTGGAGTACTGCCCTCTGGCTGAGCTTCCTTTGCTTTTGTTGGTGTGTTTGTGTGGGTGTGGGTGTGTGTATGTGCTCAAGGACAATTACTTCTTAGTACCAATGTTGAAGTTCTTAACATGATTTAAAGTGAAATTAATGGGTATAAGTTTTATTCTTTATTCAAACTCCAACCTACTGTATATGACGCAAAATTAACTAAAAATTTCTGTAAATATATCGTGCATGAGATACACTAAAAATGTAACAACATTACTTGCACGGTTTAACAACACAACAGTCTCGGTACAACATATTGACAACCCTATAAAATTACTGAGTATTGATGGTTTGCATTTTGTAGAAGGGTTGGAAGACAAAAGCACTTCGGTTGTGGTGGGGAAGGATGTTGTAGACTGAGAGACGGGTATGAAGGCGACTTTTGGGTATGGATATGTTAGTCATAAGGACCAACTCCATGATAACCCAAATGTTGCTCTTTTCTTTTTGGAGGAGAACATCCACAAAAGCACAAAGATGAACTTGCACTTCATCAAAACAAGAAGAAAATCTGCCTTCTTGCCTCATCTGGTCGCAAAATCGATCCCTTTTGCATCCGAAAAAATGCCTGAAATTCAGAACAAATTCTCAGTCTCACCTAATTCAGTGGAAGCTGAAGCAATGAAGAAAAAACCATACAACAGTGTGAGAAGCCTAGCATCAAAGGGGAGGAACAATATTGTGCCATTTCTTTAGAGGCAATGGTAGATTTCAGTACTTCCAAGCTGGGGAAAAGAGTTCAAGCAATGTCCACGGAGGTGGAAAGAGAAACTCAGCTGCAGAAGTATAGTCTTATAGGTAGGGTTGTCAGTGTTACACTAAACATGACTTGACTAAACATGGCTTATACACAAGTACACGAGAAGAACACAACACACCACACCACAGCCTAATGAGATGTTGTATATCTTACTTTCTTTTGCTTTTCTTTTTTGTTTTTTTCTCAGTTGGCATTGGTGGCTAGCCATGCAGCTCTACCTCCTGATCTTGAGGATTGTTGGAAGTCTGTGCTGCAAACACTCCCATGCCCAAAGCAATCAAGGATATTCTACACACTGGTTGGTCTTCAATCTAGAAAAAAATTCCATGTTCTAACTCACAATTCTTTTACGAAGTTTAAGTCTGTTTTGGCTTCCTAAGAAAACAAGCTAAAAAGTTAAAAAATCTATTTGTTGTACCTTTGTAGTTTGTAGTACTGCCTTGGCTAAACTTCCTTTGCTTTAGGAGGGAGGGGGTGATGTTGGCAAAAGTTCCATCATTTTTGACACCTCTATAATAACAAGACTAAACGTATATGACAATGTTTACAATAACAAGAACAAGAAAACCAGATTTGTATGTTTTCAAAATTGAAAATTAGCAAGTTAATAAAGCATGAAAAATCTTCTTCCATCAAGTGCATGATACAGATGTAAAGTGGAAGTGTCTGAAGTTCTTAACACGATTCGAAGTGAAATTAATGGGTATAAGTTTTAGTCTTTATTCAGACTCCAACCTAGTGTACATGACTCAAAATTAACTAAATATTTATGTAAATATATCATGTATGAGATACACTAAAGATGTAACAACAGGACTTGCACGGTTTAAAAACATAACACTGTGTTGGTACAACATATTGATAACCCTAAAAAATTACTGATTAGTGGTTACTGATGGTTTGCACTTTGCAGAAGGGTTGACAGACAAAAGCACTTCGGTTGTGGTGGGGAAGGATGTTGTAGACTTAGAGACGGGTATGAAGGGGGCTTTTGGTTATGGATATGTTATTCAAAAGGACCAACTCCATGATAACCAAAATGTTGCTCTTTTCTTTTTGGAGAAGAACATTCACAAAGGCACAAAGATGAACTTGCAGTTCATCAAAACGAGAAGAAAATCTGCCTTCTTGCCTCGTCTGGTTGCCAAATCGATCCCTTTTGCATTGAAAAAAAATGCCTGAAATTTTGAACAGATTCTCAGTCTCACCTAATTCAGTGGAAGCTGAAACAATGACGAAAACCATAAAGGAGTGTGAGGAGCCTGGCATCAAATGGGAGGAACAATATTCTGCCACTTCTTTAGAGGCAATGGTAGATTTCAGTACTTCCAAGCTAGGGAAAAGAGTTCAAGCTATGTCCACAGAGGTGGAAAAAGATACTCAACTGTAGAAGTATAGCATTACATGTAGGGTTGTCAGTGTTACATATGAACCCGACTAAACATGGCTTATTAACAAGTAAACGACAAGAACATAACACATTATAACCGAACTTCAAATAATTTGGACAAATCATACTTTAACTCCCTTTAACTATGAACTCAATTTCAATCCTTCAATCCCTTGACTATTTGAATTGATTTCATGTTGCCCTAACCCAAACTTCCTTTGGACAAAAATTGACAACATGTCAGAGGCGATATGAAAAAAAAAGTTTCGGGCTGGGGGGTGGCAAGATAATTTTTCGTCATATTTGTAACAAACGTTAATTATTGAGAAATGTGTGAAATTAATAGTATAATTGAAGGTGTATTGTGAGAAATAAGATAGTTGATGGGGCAAGTAATGTGAAAATCAAAAGGTCATAGTTGTGGGGGCTATAGTGTAATCCGCCCAAATAATTATAAACAAGTTGGATATAAGTTAAGCAAATTTTGGCTAATCGACAACACTATTTGCAAGGGTGAAGAAGATGGCAAGTCAAATAGTAGTTGCTTGTCACAAGAAGAGTTATGTGTATGCAGTACTTTGTTGTCAAAAAAAGCACACCATCAAAGCGTATTTGACTTTCTTGAAGGAGGCTAATGGGATCAAAGCTAAAGCAGTAGTAGTGTGCCATACAGATACCTTGGCTTGGAACCCAAAGCATTTGGCCTTTCAAGTGCTGAAGGTTAAACCAAGAACTATTTCGATTTTTCATTTCCTTCCTGAGGATCACATTGTCTGGGTTCCAAACTGGATCTAAGAAAAATGGCCCGGTGCGAGAGCCTTTCTCTCACTACGCACATAGGTAAAAAATCTATTTTTCGTGTCTTAAACCAGTAAATTCGTTTGTTATGGTTTGAATTTTCGATGTAATGTATTGATGTCTTGAAACTCCAATTCTCTATCCATTAATGTCTGTTTGTGTTTTATCAAAAGCTTGGAAAATGGGGATGATGCATCTTGTCTTTATTATTTGAAATGTAGATCCATTATGTACATGTTTTGACACATCTCCTGATCATATGCATGCTAGAATTCGATTAAACACATGTAAACTTTTTGTTTTTGTGAGACATTATTATAAGGGAGAGAAATGACAAAATTTAAACCTGCGACTTTAATATCTAATAGCAGTGTTGCTGCCATTGGGCCAACCGCTGACGTCCACATGTAAACTTATGAACCATTCATACAAATAAAAACTGATATAACTATTTAGATGTAACTATTCATAAAAAAACAACTGGTGACAAATTTTGAAACGTCCAACACCTTCCATACTTCTACGTTTTTTAATCCTCATCCCCTTCTTTGGAACAAGTAATTTTTTTTGTGACAGACGTTGGCCCCAATATGTTTAAGCTTACCAGCTTTGCATAGAAAATGTCTCACAACTTGTCCAACTTGCTTGATTATTGGCTTTACTTGGCCCACGAACTTTACTTGAGCACTGTCCTCCTTTCTCACAAGGTTGCTTTCCAGCCTCTCGAGGGGTGCGACAAATGTTCAAAACCTAGTATGTTAATTTTAACTGAAGAAGTGCTAAGTCGAGGCCATCTAAATATAGGAAAAAAATAGAAATACTACATCAACATGAAATCAAAAGGATAGCCTAAGCAAAAACTAGATAGACAATGGAACTAAAAGTAGAAATGAAGAGGTGTAAGGTTCAAAATTCAACGGCCCGACTTTTGGGTGGGCCGTGATCTAATTTGTGCTTGTCTCTACAACTTTACCCCTTGAGCCAACGCAACCCATTAAGAAGCCAGGTTTCTTAATCAATCTCTAGAGGATCGCTATTGGAATTTAGAGGACTATCACACACTCACAAAAAAAAAATATAATGGACAAGACTAATGAAAATTGGAGGAACTCTTTCTATTCACTCATATTCAAATGAATGTATTACATATGATATATATAGACTCTCATGACATACAAAATAACCTCACTACATAATGCAATAATAAAAATAATAAAGACCCCACTCCTCCATTACTTGGAGAATTAAAATACCACAATTACTTTGTCCCCCACTAATACCAAATTGATGACCCACTAATACACAAAAATAAATGCATAAAAATAACTCCTAAAATATGAAAAGTCATGTTTAATATTATTTTTTCAACACCCCCCTTAAACATGATTTTTCTTCTCAACTCCAAGCAAACTTCTCAATCTGCAAAAAAACATCCCCTTTGAAGGGCTTAGTGAAAATATCAGCAATTTGATCTTGAGACTTCACAAACTTGAGCTCCACCTCTTTCTTGGTCACATACTCTCTAATGAAATGGAATCTTGTGTCAATATGCTTAATTACTACGATCATGAAACACCGGATTCTTTACCAACGCTAGTGTCGATTTGTTGTCAATGAAAATCTCCGTCGATTCTTCTTGAGGCAAATGAAGCTCCTTTAACAAATTTCTAAGCCAAATAGCTTGACAAATACATGATGTAGCTGCCACATACTTGGCTTCAAAAGTCAAAAGAGTCACAATGGGTTGCTTATTTGAACTCCAAACAAATGCAGTATCTCCCATGAAGAAAACATATACGGTAATACTTTTTCTATCATCCATATCTCCCGCCCAATCACTATCACAATAAACCGCAAGCTGAAAATTGTTAGAACAAGAATATAGCAATCCATAATCAAGTGTACCTTTGATGTATCTAGGAATTCTTTTTGCCGCCTTCAAATGGATCATGGTAGGAGCTTCCATATAGCGACTTACAAAATCAACACCAAAAAAATATTTGGCCTTGTGCATGTTAAGTATGTCAAGCTTCCCACTAGGCTCTAGAAATGGGTAGGATCCACATGCTCTCCATCTTCATATTTTGACAATTTACACCACATTCAACGAGTGTGCATACTGGCTTACAATCTTGCATCTTGAATTTTGCCAAAATTGCTTTAGCATAACCTTCTTGAGAGATAAATATATCTCCCTTTAGTTGCTTCACTTCAATGCCAAGGTAATATGACATAAGCCCAATGTCGGTGATCTCAAATTCTTTAGTCATTTCTCTCTTGAAATCTTCAAACATTCTTGGACAATTTTCTATGAAGATCAAGTCATCCACATACAAACAAGCATAGAGTATATCACAATTATTATTCACCTTTGCATAAAGAGCATGTTCATGAGGACACTTGGTGAAATTATTTGCTTGAAAGTACTTGTCAAGTTTATTATTCCAAGCCCTTGGTGCTTGCTTCAAACCATACAAAGCCTTTTTTTAATTTCAAGACTTTCTCTCGCCATTTCACAACATAACCCAAGGGTTGTTCAACATACACTTCTTTATCAAGAAAGCCATTCAAAAAAGCAGACTTTACATCCATTTGATGAATTTTCCAATCATTTAGAGTGGCTAAAGAAATAATCAATTTAATTGTTTCCAAATGAGCAACAGGTGCAAATACCTCATCATACTTAATACCCGGTCTTTGACTATAGCCTTTTGCAACCAACCTTGCTTTGTACGTCTCCACTTCACTTTTGGCATTTTTCTTTGTCTTATACACCCACTTCACTCCAATGACTTTTTGTCCTCTAGGGAGTATGACAAGCTCCCATGTTTCATTTCTTTTAATAACATCAATTTCTTCATTCATGGCACTCCTCCATAATTGGCAAATAGACAAAATAGTGTTAGATCACTAAATCCTTGAATTACCTCTTCAGTTTCTTCATAGATATCTTGAAAACTTCTCATATGAGGTGGTCTTTCACTTGAGCTTGCTTAATATGATGATGGAGATGCTTGCACATTGGTGGGTGATGGTGGAAGAGAATAAATGGGCAGCTCCATGATCTCATTATTGGGCTCCCCCTCTTCTTCAAAGAATGGAAAAAAATCATAGTTTTCTTGTAGAGTGTTCCAATCCCATTTATCTTCTTCATCAAGTTCAACATCTCTATTAATTATTATCTTGCCATTACTTGGGTTGTAAAGCTTGTAACCTTTGCTTCTTGAATCATAGCCAATGAAGACAAACTTTTTACTCTTACCATCTAGTTTGGTCCGTTTCTTATCCGGCACATGTGCATAGCATACACTTCAAAAGACCCGCAAATGAGAAACATTTGGCTTGATTCCTCCCCATGCTTCTTGTGGTGTTTTGTCTTGAACACTTTTAGTGGGACACCGATTTAACAAGTAGATGACACAATCAATAGCTTCTGCCCAAAAACCCTTGGGCATTTTTTTACTCTTCAACATATTCCGAGCCATGTCAAGAATTGTTCGGTTCTTCCTTTCGGCAACACCATTTTGTTGTGGTGATCTTGGAACCGTCAGAGGATGGTGAATTCCATTTTCTTCACAAAAAAATTTGAATTCATTTGATATGAATTCACCTCCTTTATTGGATCTAATTGCCTTGACTTCATACCCACTTTGCTTTTCAATCAAAGCCTTAAACTTTTTGAAAATGCCAAACACCTCCGATTTTTATTTTAGAAAATAAACCTACATTTTTTTTTGGCTAAAATCATCAATAAAGATAAGAAAATACCGGTTCTTACCAAATGATGGTGGGTCTATAGGGCCGCAAACATCCGAGTGAACAAGTTGAAGTGGTTTGGTTGCTCTTGAAATGGATTCTTTGGAAAAGCTCTTTCTAGCTTGTTTTCTAATTAAACATCCCTCACAAAGTTGATCCAGGTGGTTGATAGAAGGCAATCTGTTTATCATCTTCTTTTTAGACAACGAGGTTAGTCCTCCAAAATTCAAGTGTCCAAATCTCAAGTGTCATAACCAAGAAGAATCTTTAACACATGCTTTCAAGCATTTTGCCACATCACTTTGAATATTTAACAAAAAACATTCTATTTCTTGTCATCCGCACTTTAGCAACCAAATTTCCGTTTTCATCTCTTATTGAAAAATTATGATTTTTCATACAAATATCATAACCTTTCTCTAAGAGTTGTCCCAAACTCAAAATAT